CCCTACTGGGTATGTGCCTGCAACCAAGGTACATGCCCTTGACCGGAATCGAACCTGGGACCCTTGAGTCCGCAGGCCAATGCTCTATCCATTGAGCCAATCCGGTTAGGGCTAAAATTTATTGTTAATCCTCACCCGAGGATATTTTTCCACTGATCTTTTTAGAGAGAGTGGGAGAGAGAGGGACAGAGAGAGAAACATTGATGTGGGAGATATCGATTGGTTGCCTCCTGCACGTGCCCCCGACAGGCCCAGAGAGGGGGCTTTCAACCAAGTACGTGCCCTTGCCCGGAATCGAACCCGGGACACCTTGGTCCACAGGCCGACGCTCTAGCCACTGAGCAACACCGGCCAGGGCTCCAACCCCTTTGGATGATTTGCTCTGACAGTGACGGCAGCTGCGGGATACGCCCTCTGGGGCTGCTGGGGCTCCTCGCGGCCTCGGGAGATTTCTGGGTGCAGGTTCCGAAGAGGCACCCCCGTCCGTTTTGCAGTGGCTCCTCTCCGCCTGTCAGTTGCACCCAGGGTTTCCGTCCTCATGACGGTTGCAATCGGCTCCCCTGGCCTGAGGAGTGGCACCCGTCCGCTTGCAGAATTCTGACCATCAGGACACGTGGCTCCTTTTTTCTTTCTTTTCCTATTTATTAATTTTTCTTCCACGTGGCTCCTTGTAGAACCTGGTGAAAAGTTTCCCCTCGACAGCGCTGAACGTTACGTGGGGCCCCCTGGGAGCCCCCCAAAGACAGCGGAGCTGCCAGAGCGAGGGAGCCCTCCTCGGGGTGACTGACCTCTGGTCTCAAAAGACACGCAGGCCACACATCAGGGACACGGAGCCCTGCCCTGGTCCCAGGTCTGGGGCGGCAATGCAGGTTCGGCAGCGTCGGGAACGAAGATACCGTCCTGACCAGCTATGGTGCTGCCCGGGCACTGGGAATGCCAGGGGACACTTTGTAAAGTATATGATTGTCTAACCGACAGGTGATGCACCCGAAAGGAACACAAAGCAGCATTCGATGGACTTGCCCTTCCACCTCCTGGCCGCCGGCCGTGGATGGTATTTCAGCCCCTGGAGGAGGGAGGGGGGCGGGGGGGGGCAGCAGGAACTGGAACCTGCTGTGGGCACCCTCAGGCCCCGGTGCCCCACCTCCCGCCATCCTGCCGCCTGGAGATGGAGCCTCGAGGGGGCAGGCGCGGGGCGGCCGAGCTTCCTGTGCCACGGGAGTGTGTGGCCGACTGAGCGCCTTTTGTGACATTCAGCTCGTCCTTTGGGGAAAGGGAAGTCGCTGTAAGAGTTCTGGGTTGGCTGCGGCCACATCATCAAAATCAGTCTCGTTGCCCTTCGTGGCACCTCCTCCTGTGCCTTCCACTGAAGCACCGGCTCCCTCCACGCCCGCCTCACACTGGCTCCTTGGACGGGCTGTCATTGCTGGGCCGGTGCTCGGGCGGCGCAGGCGCAGGGCGCTGGGAAAAACCCCCAAGTCTGCTGACGCCGGGAATTCCGGAAGAGACTTTGTTTTAAAATTAAGACTAAAGAGCCGTCCTGCCCTTCATACAAACCAAGCCCCATTCTGTTTTCCGCCCACCCCACGCGGCGCACAGCACCCCGCGATTCCCGCGATTGGAGGTGGCCTCGACCATGAAACCTCTGCTGTCGGGCAGACAGTCCGGTCACCAGCTGGTGCCTTGGAGGCTGGGAGACCGACAGTTTCCGAGAAGGAGGCCGCCTCTCCCGCTCGGCTCCAGCAGATCCTGTGCATGGCCCCACGTGGGCCAGCTCCACGCGCCATCGGAAGGGAGCTCAGCGCGAGGGCGCAGGCTGCTCGCATCTCCTCCGGGGAACGGCGGCCTCAGGGACTGTGCCAGGCGGTGGGGGCAAGACAGCTCCTGCCAGGGAGCCGGGGCCTGAGGATGGGGTCTGCAGCTCCCGGGAGCCCACACCCGCCTGGAACTCGGGGGGAAGCTCAACCTTCTGGACGCTTGGAAGGAGGGGCTCAACTTCAGGCACATGGCTCCTGGGACGCCGCCAGGCGTCGTGACCGTGAGCGGGGAGACGCGCATTTCCTCCGGGTCTAAGGCTTTTCTCAAGTGTGGACCTTCTGGTGTAAACATCAGAGGTTGGCGCCAGGGACTTGCCATGCTGTCGTGGTGTGGCTTTGGGTGGAGATGGAGGCGGAGCGCTGGCCGAAGGATTCCTCCCGCCGGCTGCATTCGCAGGGCCTTTCTCCAGTGTGTACTGTCTGGAGTTGAATGAGGACAGACTGGCCCGAAGGGTTTCCCACATCGGCCGCGCTCATGGGCCTGGGGCCGAGCTGAGGCTGGCGCTCCCACCAAGGGCTTGCCCACCACCGCACTTGGGGCCTCTCTCCAGTGTGAACTCTGACGTTCAGTGAAGCTGCTGTTCTGCTGAGGGGCCCCCTGCGCTGCCCACACTGGAGGCCCCGTCTCCCTCCCATGACTCCTCTGTGCTCGGCGAGGCTGTAGCTTCAGAAGCTTCCCGCGCTCGCACACGCGCCAGGCCTTTCTCCGGGGACTTCTGCTGCGCCCTCGAGTCTGCATTTGGACCCAAAGCTTTTCGCACACATTCACGGCACTCGGGCGGCCTCTCTCCAGTGTGACCTCTGGAGCTGAACAAGTGAGTACTTACAACAGGAGTCTTTCCCTACTTGCTAGCCTTTGGGTGCTGTTGTTACGGAATTTTCCCGGCGACCAGGAAAAAGCCATTTATTTTCAGATGTCTCACGTGTCCCGGTCAGTGACTCAGGGCAGACGGCTTCTCTCCAAACCCTGAGCCAACCAATACAGAGGAAGCTTTCCCTTTATACCCTTTGCTTTCTCTGTCCCCCAAATATGGGATGGGACCTTCAGACCTTTTGCGGGCTTTGCAGAAAGCCCCGTGTGTTGGGGTGGGGGGCCGGGGGACCATACCTAGAGGCCTGGCCTGGTGCCAGCGCTGATAACCCCGTCTGGGGGTTGTGTATTGTTCATGGTTTATGCCGAGGGGGGCGTCGGCGAGGAGTGCAGGGAGAGAGGGTTTTACTGATTTTTGCTGGCTGCGGGCGCTCTGCTGACGTAAGGGTCTGGTCCGTCCTTGGTTCCTCCCATGCCAGGTGTCTTCTGGTTATTTGAGCTATGCTGTGCTCAAGGCTGCAAGCTTTCTGCAAGATCTCTACTAAGCCAGTGGACGGCAAACCG